GTACAATTTGCTGGGTTTTTTTAATTTTGATGGCCAAGCCCATTTATGTTTGTGTGCGCGCTCAGGCTCTGAAGGTTCAGTATAGGGTCAAAGTCAAGAGTGGTATGCAGATTGGGTTGCCAACTTACAGACAGTGGGGCATTGTATAATTTTTTATTTGTAGCAAGGGAGCATTCAGGGAAGGAAACACGCCTCTTGTGCTCTTTGAAAATTGGCTCATAGCTTAGGAGTACTGCCAGAAAAAAAAAATTAGTTGCCTAGTTTGTCTGAAGCATTAGATTCAGATCTCTACTCACTGTTAAACAGGCAGGAGTGTGGGAGCTAGCTAGGAGGTTGAGGCATTCAAGATTACTTTGTAGGAATTACAAACGAACTTGGCCATCATAAATTTCATATTCTCAGTCGTGCCTCAGGAGTTGGTATTTTGAACTTGGCAGTTGGTTGCATTCCTGAGTGGCCCGGCCTAATTTATTACTATGGACAAGTCCAAGAGATGGAGGATATATTGGGTGTTGAATAATCAGGGCAGTAGTTTGTTGATGGAAGGATCAGATGGCTATTAGACCTGAAAGCTGTTTCAGATATACTAGTGGAGAATCAAGTCTAGTTTCCAGCAATTCAGTGGTGAGTACTGGACCTGAATGGAGGCTGGCACCCTTGGAGAGGCTATTTTGCACTTGTCTATAACCGTCTATAAAATCAAAGAGCATCATGGTGTTGGGCTGATACTACAGAAATTGAGAAATATTTCCCACCTATAGGAAGTGTGTTCTGGAATGTTAATATGGTGACCTGCTTCGATGTCATGAATGAATGGAGGTGTGCGTCTAAACTACCAGGTTGGAAATATGCTACCTAAGGCATGCAATGTGCATAGCTGTTTGTCATGTATAAGGAACAGTGCAGGGTATAATCATGAATATTATTTAGGTTTTTTCATCATCTCCCAGTACTAGCAGTGCACATTGTTTGGAGAAATCTAAGAGAAGTGTTGGCTTTGGTATGGCACACAGGGTTAGCGAGTGTACCTTCAAAAAAGCATGAGCCAGTTTGAAGCTGGCAATTTGGTATTAATTCCTGTAAGACAGCTCCTAAATCACTGACCTATCAGAAGGTTTGGACCCCTAAGAGAGGCCAACCCATCACTGGAAAATCTGGGTTTTCAAGCTGTACATCTGTTGTATTGATGGGTTGCTGGCAGAAGCCAACAGTATGATCTAACCTCAATCTGTCTCTGATTATAGAAGACATTGGAAATAAAGTCAAGGTCTGAATTTGCAAGCACTTTATTGTGCACTGAACTCACATGAGAAGTGAGGTTGGCAGGTATATCACAACTAAGCTTCAGCACTGAGGCCATCTCATTGATAGTTGAGCTACAACAGATTCAGAATTAGAGAGATACAAAACAGTGTTTGTCATGATGGCCACTTTCACCCCAAGGTGAGACCTGGAATTTTGCTGGTGGACTGTAATGGGAGGCCTGAAGTCTTTGGAGACTCAATGTCTCAGTTAATGTTTCTTTTCTCTATGTGAAACACAGGATTAGACAACTTAGAAGTGAGCTGTATCTTGGGGACAGGCTGGCAAGGGAGGGTTATTGTGTAGCTGGTGTGAGACCTATGCCCCTGAGTGGACTTCATTAGGTGCTTGGTGCAGGAGATGGGCATACACAGCAGCACAACAGAGTGGGCAAGCAGGGCGCATGGTCCAAGGGGAGGGGCACCAGGGTGGGTGGGGAAGAATGCTTCACCCTGGGGCTACTCACTACAGCCTACCTGGCTGTTTCCTGCCTTGTCTTGCTCTGCCGGAACTTTATGGCTTCAGGAAGCAGGAACCCAGTGCAAGGCATTCTGGGAATAGCTGTAGAGCAGCAGTGGAGGTTTCTGTTGCTTGTGGGGGGAGAACTGACCTATATTTTTGCTGCTGAATTCAGCATTTTTTTTGGCTTCTGAATATGGGCTTCAGTAGCCAAAAAATGGAGTGGAACTCATACCTAAGAGTAAGGGGGGTTTGCCCAACGTGCATTTTTTTAATGCCTCTATGCATACATCACTCTTACCAACTGTTAAACCTATGATATATTGCTTAAAATCTACTCTCGTATCTTGTACCTGTATATGCCATGCTGCCAAAGAGCATGAATGAAAATATTGTACCACACCAATAAACTCTTCAATGGCTAGGGGAATCTTTTACTGCTTAACATGCAGTGGAATGACGACAGCACAGAAACATGCAGACTCAAGCTGCCTACTCTGTCTGACTGAACTTCAACCATTAAGTTAACTGCTATTTACATTTAAATACTTTAAAATTTAAATGATTAAACCAGTTACCTCTTTCTGTTTTACTTTGGCAAAAAATATGTACATTTCAGATCCAAATACAGATGCACATGCTGCACCAAACTGTCTACTTGTGTTAGCACTTAACACTTGGGAAATTCCAAAGCTCAATGATGCAAATACCAAAAGTTTATAAAATATATTTGGTGACAAGCACCCAGCCTTACAAGAAGCATTCATTCTTACCTTCTTTGTGCTGCCTTTTTTATATTTACACTGCTATAGCAAAATAACATTTGTCATGAAAGAATGCATGTCAGCTACATTCAAGTGATTATTTTATTACCATATATTTTGTTTTACAAACTTTCCTGAAATTCAGCAAGAGCACTACAAAGCCATACTCTAGCACAAGAAATGTATTGCATGACATTTGCAGGCATAGCAAATTACAGATAAGAACAGGACAGAAAAAAACAAATTCGGAAAACTTTTACAAAACTGGATAGTAATACTGATTAACACTGAGTTATAATCTTACTTATAACAGAGCTGGAGGGCTAAAAACACATTAAAAATGCCTGTGCACTTTAACAATGGTTTGGTGCAGATCTAGAGTGCACTAGTAATCGCAGTTTTGTTGTAGGCATAGGTAACACAGAAAATAAGCTGATATTATGCATATAACAAACCTAACTTGTTTGCAGTAAGGCAGTAAACTAGCAGTACTGCTTCCTTGGCACTTAGTGATAGGACAACAAGTATTTGGTTTAACTAAACTGATAAACAAGATATTTCTATTGATGTAAAATCTACATTATCCCTTTGAACCTTTTAGTTTTACAGTATTTATATAATCATCAAATCCACTCTTAAATGGCACACTGACTAGAAGATGCTTCATATACTAGTTTAAAACAAGACCTTAAATAAATAAAAAACTCAAATGTTAAAATATGATATGGGTCCAGGTGCTAGTTCAAAACTTCTAGTGATGTCTTTTACTGAAAACAAGAAGTCTGACACATTTTAAGGAACTGACTCTCCTGTTATAAGCCACTTAATGGGTTTTCCTGAATAACAGCTGTTTATTAATACAGTTTTTTGAAGAAATTTCACATTTAGTAACACTGAGTAAAAGAACTGGTAAAGTCTTACACCCGAAAGTTCTGTGACAAACTGAAATTTGGTCTAGCAGATCACATTAAATACATTTTCCCTCATGGAAAGCCTATTTTAAAGAAGAATGATTTCAAATTTTCAGTTACTGTCCTTGTATTAAACAATATGAACACCAACCTAGATGGAGCTCTTTTTCTCCTTTTTAACAAACTGTCTACAACACCATTTATATTATATATACCAAACTTAATAAACATTTTTCTTTATATATAATGATGTAACACTTTAAAATTAACTGGTTTAAAATATTTTACAAATGACATCTTTGTTATATATGAACTATACAGCATTCGAGTACGCAATAATTTGAACATAAACACATTTTTATATCTCACTTAGACTAGTATTTTGCACCAAACATTGGTGTCAACAATTCTAACAATCCTCAGATAAAAAAAGTTTTCTGCTTTTTTGAAAACAAAAATTACAAAAATCCTTTAATTACAAGGATATCTCACTAAAACCTGAACTAAAATATTTTTGATTATGTATTTTGCGCAAAAAACTTTAAAAATGGGTTTACATACATAAAAAGGATAGCTTCTTTCTCTAAGAGTGCAATTTATCAGGGACATTAAAACAGCAGACCTCTTCCCCACTGAGATGGTTAAAAATTGCAGCCAATCAAAATGTGACGTGGAGTACATTTTTTTTTTTTTAAACACAAAAGTAAGCCTCACTATTGTTTGCTATTAAGAGTTCCTTTCCCTTGATTTAAAATGTAACCCTTTTTAATATCCATTTTAATGAAAGTATTTGCATAGAGCAGCTTTGTATTATTTGTAAAGAACATTTAAGTGTTTTAACACAAGATAAGGCACATGTTTTTCAGCATTAATATTCTAAAACTAATCCTGAGAAATCATCCCCCACCTTTGAACCCACAATTCCCTCCCTCCCCCAAATCTGCTTCTTTTCTAACCCTGTTTACCTGAAGAAAGCAAAACGATAACATAGAATAAGGAACCCTTAGATGAACTCAATTCAGAACATTAAAAACTCTAGATAATGGTTTAAAACTTCTGCAGACACAAACTTAAGTTGAATTTACTAAAAGATGTATTGGGAAAAAAACAAGCAGCGAGTAGCACTGTAGATGTTACCTAAAAGTTCACGGAATATGGCTAATTAATTTATGGTGAATATTTTTCAGAAACAAGCTCCTTTGAGAAACAAGGTAGCCAAGTTGTGAGGCACTTGAGGTTGACAGTAAAGGAATGCAATGGATCTGTTTTATATAAAACCTAAAACTGCATATCATACCCTTGAATTATGCTTTTATTAAAGTGCTAGAACTGGAGACCTAAACCAAAAGAAGTTAAAATATCAAATAAGCAATTAAAGAGCTTAGTATGCAATAAAAGTAACTGCTTTTGATGCTTGTAGATTTAGAGCTTTTTAACTTTTTTAAAATAAAGTCTGAAAAAAATTCAAGTGTGAAAAGGTTTTCTCCTTGCCATTACAAATAACATTGTCAAAGTGCCCAATTTTTTTTCTTAACAATAAAACCATTTGCCTTATCTTATGTTCTACAACATGATGTAGTACGTCCTACACGTCCTACATATGTAATCCATATTGTAACACACATTTTCAGTCTGATGGAAATCAGCGCATGTTCACTTTTAGACAAATTATAATTCTAATTCCCACCCTCAGAATGGTAGGTCTTGGATTACCTATCCAAGTGGCAGATAGTGCAACCAACCACAACCTCTCAATATGTATTTTAATCTTTAAAGCCCAACTTCTTTAGCCTGATGACATTCTTCTTCACAATTCAATCTTCCACCAATACAAAACAACAAATAGGTCAATTAGCTCTAAATTACATAAATCCACTGGATGCCAAGTCTGAGAAGGGCCTGGGTTCTGTGGGATGATGAAGAGGCTGAAGGTGTGCAGTAGTCTGTGTGTTACTGATCACATTTAATTGAGGGGGATATGCTTCAGTTAAATTTCCTCCATTGAAACCGTTTTGGAACTGGAAAAAAATATTACAGTGGTTAGTATAAAGCAATACCTTTCTTTAAAGAAACCCCTATGACTAGGGTGACCATACATCCGGGTGTGGCCAGGACAATCCAACATTTTGTAGGCTGTCCAGGCACTTTGTCCAGTTGGTGAAAATGGAAACAAAAGTCCTGGACTGGCACCACCCTGCCTGCACTCCCTGGCCTGGCTCTTTCTGAGCAGCAGCTGGAGGCAGGGGTGTCCTGGGCTGGGCACTGTTTCTCCTGCCTGGGGCTGGGGGGAGAGCACTGCTGTGCATATGTGCGTACAGCACTGGGCAACCTTGTATTCTGGTGCCCTTTGTTCTCCTGAGCTGGAGGTGGGGTAGGCTGGTCTGGGTACTGCTTCTCCTGTCTGGGGCACAGTGTCCCAGATTTCCTTAAAAATATTATAGTCACCATGCCTATGACATGCTTTGAGATTCACACAGATAGCATTAAAGGTTTGTAATCCTAAAACTGCAAAAATTATTATTGCTAAGAGCTGAGGTATACAGGAAAACCAGGTTAAGGTAAATACTGCACAAAACTGGAATTCCTGATCAGTAACCCCACAAGGAGTTACTTAGGACTCTAAATACTTGAGTCTAATAGTGGCTATTGTATTTAATTTGTATTTCACAAATGAAAGAGCCACCTAGCAATTCTAAAATTAGTTCTGATGCTGAAGACTTGATTAAACTTTTGAAGTATTCAAATACTGTCAAATGGTAGTTGATTGGTGGGTGCCACTCATGATTCTGAAATCAAATCCCTTTTCTCCAAGGTACTCTGGGAGACTATTTTTTAGTTAAAAGACACTTAAAGAGTTCCTCCTTTTTCTATAAATATATGAATGCGAAATGCCATATTTTTAATGGAAAAAAGAAAAACCTTCCATACACTTTAAATCTTCTCAAGAGTAACTCCTTGAGACAGTGAATACTCTCTAGAACTGTACATACTGCATTAAGAAACCAAATGGTGAAATCCTGATTCCTGCTCTCAAATGAAATAAAAAGCACTGCAATATTTAGAGAAGTGAAAAGTTATACAAAAATACTGGGGGATCCTAATCCTTCTGAAGTCAAAGGTAGATTTGTTGCTAATTAACAAGTGAAGAATTAGGCATACTGAATGTTCCTACAGATCCGATTTGTAGTGTAATTTTCACTTGTGGAATGCACAGTCCACCTCAAATTTCCTCATCAAGAATGCTACAATTAAAATCCAGCTAAACACCACATGCTGAGTGCAGGTGACTGTTTTTAGCTTCTACAGTACTCCTATAACCACACAGTCAGTCCACTTCATAAACTGGAATTTGCTACACCGACTATAAACTGGAGTTTTCCTTGAATGAATAATGACCATATCTATCTGACAAAGCCAAATAAACCAAATGGCTGTCATCAGTTTTGATAAAATGCATTTCAGCAATTTTCTTTAAATATATTTTACTTGTGGGATTATGTCAATCAGCTGATGAATATTTCCTGTACAAAACTGTGCTTCACTTATGGAAAGAAAATAAAGCAAACAAATAAAAAAATCCCCTCAATTCTTTGTAAAGAGGCCTCATATAAGCTTTTAAGTAAAGCCATAAAATACTCAATATACAAATTAGGCAGATCTTTGGAAATTGCTTTTTTAGCTAAGACCATTATTGAGATTTGATGGTAAGTCTGCATTCATTTTTTTATTCTAAATGGCTACAGACAGCAGCTACAGATTCAGCTTTTTAATGCAAAAAATGACAATTCCTTTTGAGATCATTTATACCATCGATCCATTATTCCAGCTACAGAAGGGAAAATTCTCCTGGGTCACTTCCCTTTTCCTCGGTATTTTCCTTTATGTTTCTCTGTTGATGTGATTACTTTTCCATATTTGGATGGGTCTGTCAGATTTATCTGAACAGGTAAAAATAATTAGTTTGGGTGGAGAATGATGAAGAGGAGACAACCAAAGGGGTACTGATCAGACATAACTTTTGGAACCACTATCAAAGGTTAGGACACAATTTTTTGTAAACATATACTTTGGTTCAAACAGTGATAAAGGAAGCTCTATGGTTGTGCAAGAGCTAGTCAGACTTCTCTTTTGCCTTATAATCCATGAGTAATATAGGCATGGAAGGATAAAAAAAATGAATAACCATGACTCTCAACCTCAAATGAAATTTTACCTGCTTTACTGTAACAATCAATTCTTTTCCTCTCTACAGTGAACGTATCTTATATATTTAATTTACCTTTATAGTTCTGGTTTGCAATATATTCTTTATAATTACTGCTTCAAGTGTACAAATTTGCCTTTATTTCCTATTTCTCTCATGCAAACACAATTATTTAAAATCGCTCTTTGATGGCAAGAAATCTAGTCTCCATGATACAAATATATTTAAAGCTGGGTTTATCTTGGTTGTTCTACATCTCCTCTGATATAAAAAATTAAGAAATTTTTTATGAAAACATAAACAAATCAGAACATGATAGTTTAACACTTTTCACAGCTAGCAGCATTATTTTTAATACATAAAGCAGTATGTTTTTTTTATGCAAACAAATATAGATCAAAGTGGATATGGTCTATTTGATCAAAGTGTAAAATGGACACATTTTTCATTTTGTGTGAGAATATTTATCAATATAAAAATAAAATGAAAAACCAAAAACAGTTGTTTGTAGCAAAAATCCCACTCCTGTGTGCTCCCACAAGTTCCAGTCTTTCAAGTTCCTGTGTATATGGCCAATTGTGTCTACTGGCAGAACCAGGGTCATAATTACTCTGCTGCCTCATCAAGACATTTGATGCTCCATTAGCCCAAGTAGCACAGGGAGGCAGTTAATTATACAGCCCTCTTCAGAAAGCCCATAAAATGGTCCCACCCTGTCATTGCATGGCCGGCAATGTATCTTGTTCTTTATGTAGTGCTACCTTAAAACCTTCTACAGAGTTTACTGTCCTGGTACCTAAATCCGGTTCTGTGGTGCATGGACCTGTAGAGGCTGAAGACACTTGATCTGCCTTCCAATAAACAAGTAAAGATACCATATCATGAAATGTACTATGTTAATTTGTTCTAACAACCAGGCTAGTAGCGCTATTTCTATAACGGTGCATAACATGACACTGTGTTAGTACTATGAGAACCCAGTATGGTATTCTGCCATGAAACATGAAAGAGATAAAACTACTCAATATGAACAAACAAGGGGGAATAATTTAAGTGGTTAAAAGTTATATTGTGAGAAATGAATGGCCTACACTAAAAAATGAAAATGTAAACTGTTATTACATGAAGTAGAGAATGGAATAATTCATGTACCAGTATTAGAACTGTATAAGAAAGCGGTACTATACAGGTATGGATTTTGTGTAAAGGACAATGCTGCATAGGGATGCTTCTCATGGGAATAAACCTGGATGGGCCAGGGGATGTTTTCCAGGCTTAGTACCTGGGGCTCTGAAGGATTAATACCGCTGGCTGGATTCAGGCATAGTGCAACCAAATGCTGCATCAACTTTCTCATTGAATTCTGCCAAAGTATCTTCAAGAAAGGGAATAAATGAATTTTGTTCTTTTCTACTGTCCATATTATTCTACTTTGATTATGAAACACTTTAGGTAGTGACCATACAAATTTGAAATATTTAAAACAAGACAACTATTTTAAATCTGTATTCACTTTTTGGTTTTGACTGCAAGAAGTGACATAACTTGCAATGGTGAAGAGTGAAAAAAGTGACTGCAGCCAGCAGCTTCACATTCACGTTCGGTTGTGAACCAGAAGTTGCCATTTGCGCTTTGCCCTGGGTGCCTGGGCATATCCATAAACTGCTGCATGCAAGTACCATAAATGTCAAACATGTCTGCTGCACTATAGTCAGATTTTAAAAATCTTTTCACATTAGTTTAGTTTTTTGGAAGTTGCTTAAACTAAATCTGTTTGCTCAGAACCAGAAACAAAATTGCATTTTAGGGGCAGCATCTTAATATCAGTGATGTTCATGTTCTGCTTTGAACCTCATGTATTATCATATTCAGTGCCATTAATGGAATAGTTACATTTTGTTTTTGAGTATGTGCCTAATTTACTTAGCACTTGTCAATTTTCTTTGTTAGTCCTTAACATTGATGTCAACAGTGATTAACAGACTACTTGGATTTTTATAAACATACAACATATTTATAAAACTTAATTCTTAAAATATTTCATGTGTAAACCATAGGCCACATATATACCAGATTCTCATCTTAAGTAAATATGTACTTTTACACAGCTTGAAAATGTATTTACATTACGTTCACATGTGAAGGAGGACAGCAATCCATGATCCATACACACTTTATATGACACTGAAATATATTAATATCAACTTTAAATTTTAATTTTAATCTGAACAGTTAACTCAAATACTGATAATATAACCTTTTTCATACGTGCTACGGAGGATGTCTAAGGATTTAAGGGGTATTTCATGATAACAAAATTTGCCAGGTAACTGTGTTGATAGTGATCTTATTTTCTTATAGCTATTTTGCAGGGAAAGCCTCAACTTCTGCTACTCTGCCAGTTTCCCTCAAACCTAATTCCAGGTATAAGAAGATGGTTAAGTGAGGTTTCCCCTTAATACTTCCAACTGAGATGTCAGTTGGGAAGGTTCCTGTGATGTGGATATGGAATTGGTACCAGGTACAATGTCTGCAAGTGCAAATCATGCTAATGAACATATGATATAGTAGCTTTCATTCATTCCTAATCTCTGAGTGTTTCAAACCCAGTGATTTAATAGATTCTATATCTTATAAATCATCTAGTTCTCTGCTAAAAACAATCAGAAAATTAAGGGAATTTAAAACACCCCCATTTCCCATACCTTGTGTAACAATGCTTGTTGACTTGCCATCATAGGATTATACTGCATTTGATCCATACAGTTGGGTTGAGTTTCTGGTGGGCACTGGTACATAGACACAGCACCTGCATAACATGTTTGAGGAGTCAGCATAACTGGTTCAGAATTTATTCCACACCCTTGATTCTCAGGGATGTGCTGCAAACAATTGAGAAAACCTTCCAAGCTGGAAGAAGCAGGATAGGTTGATCCATCAAAGCTTCCTACAGGGAAGTCTATTTGAGTAAAATCAGAAAGCTGTGGTGCCATGCCTGTGGGTTGCTTGTAAGGAATAAACTCTTGTCTACATGCATAAGGTGCAACGCTGACTTCCGATTTGTAAGTGCACTCTTGTGTAGTTCCATGGGTGCTGGAAAATGCATATTGCTCTGGCTGTTGTGAACAGCCAAGAGGTACACTACTGGCAGAATTCCAATTTGAGAACATCCCATTGACCTGCATGTGCTTCATTTTCTGACATAGTTGCTGCTGATGCTGTTCTACCATTTGTTTCTGGTACTGATGAAGTTGTTGCTGGTCAAACTCTTGCTGTACCAAGCAGCTGGCATTCTGAACCATGGGCTGTTGCTGATGGCAACCTGAATATAAGAAGTCAGCTTTATTATTTAGGGAATCTTGAACATATGTCAGGATTTCATCAGTTATGTCTATGTCTCCAATATCATCCACACCAGAAAATTCTGTTTTTAAAAACTCCTCGTCCTGCTGAATGCATTTTATATCTTCAAAATCAATACCCAGACTTTTCATGATGCTGTACAAATCACTGTTTTTGTTATCTTGAAAGAGCTCTGCACTGTCTTCAGGCAGTATGAAGCTGCTTTCTTGGGGGCACTCAGTTAGCTCCTGCTTCAGAATGTTATTTCCAACTGGTAAGAGATTATCCTGCCAGCTGCTGCTGATAACATTGCCCAATTCGTCCCTGGCATCTGTAAGGAAGCTTCTCTCAAAGGAAAGCTTATTTGATGCCGGAGGGCAGAGATACACAGACTCGTCTTGCCTTAGCATGGCACCCAGCAGTGATTTGGGATCAACAGATTCTTTGTGTAGTGTAGCTTTGGCAGCAGCTCCTTTCCCACTGGCACTTTTCATCTTTGCCTGAGAAGGATCCATTAGGCCTGGCACTGGGAAAGTTACCTCATACAACACAGCCTCACCAGTGGCAAACATGAATGGCAATTTCATGTTTCGCTTCCGTAGATGCTCTGCTCCTTCTTCATCTCTGAAATTAAAACACACATATGGTACAGTAACTGGAATGCTACACTAATTACAGCAAATGTTTAGTGCTACTTTTGTCCCTTGCAATTGAAACATTAAAAAAGTTAACTAAAACTCAACTTCAGTGGGTAAAATGAATAACAGATTATGAAATAGAGATTAACTGTAATGCCACTGTACATTTCCAAAAATTATATTTACATAATAACATATGCCATGTTTTTTCTATAATACTATGATTTGAGAATGAACATTAGTGCACAATATTCTGGCAAATAAATTGTTATTGATTGGCTAGATGTATGAATAATTCAGTACTGAATTGTTATTTTTCCCTCACTTTCCAGGAAGAAGTGCTGAGTTTCTATGAATGATGATAAAAACACAGTTAGTACTGTACAGTGAGGCTAATGTCTATAGGTAAGTATTATGTCTATGCAGCTGCGGTTGGGTATCTTCTTTTCCCCAGCCTAGATAGGGTGAAAATTAAAGGTCGGGTTGAAGTACTGTTGTACCTGAAGCCTCAATGGCATCTGTCATGATCAGCATTACATACAGATTCGGACAATCAAGAGAGGAATTTATCAAGAAAAGAAGTAGTGCAATGATTGTTTTCAACACATTTAAAACGATTACAATAAAGCCTTCTGCTTCAGGACAGAGAACACTTCATTTCAAACTGAACAAACCTCCCTTGCCAAATCCTTGCTTAAGATCTACAATTCAGATTATGACTTGGAAAATTTTAAATGATACTGTCATTATATAACAACTACTTACGTAAGAGGCCTCTGTGTTGCTATGATGTAATCCGGTCTTCCATTTTTGTAGACAAGGCGTGCATTTGCCTGTACCCAGGCCCATCGATTTTCTTTGGTAAGAAGTCTAAACACTGTCATGCCACTCTCTCCAGTTTTTATCACTAGAATTGATATGGTCAGACTTACTTATTTCAGTGCAATTAAAAAACAATGAAACATAGAATTATGTTCATAGCACACTGTGTGAAGAGCAATTTTATACTGAATAGTGGTAATTATTATAGTGTAAACATATATCCATATTATAACATTATGTTCTCGAAAAGGCCATGGAGACATGAAAACTAAGCCCATTTAACCCCAGGAAATAAAACTAAATGATACGTTGGAAGCTTACTTGCCACCATGCTTGACATTAGTTACAGGTCAATATATAAAAGCCAAAGCACAAAAATAATTTCAAGAAATCCATTAAAGATTGAGAATACCCCATAAGAATCATTGTCCATTATTTCCCCAACTGCAGGGACCACTAAATACAAAAGCAAGTATATGAAAAAAGCCTTGAGCTAGTTTACAGATAAAAGGCAATAGTAATGATAAACATGACAGAGCGTTTGCTATTAATTCAGATTGTGTCATGCTTTAATTTTTATAGCACTGGCACGATAACAGTGGTATAACAGTGAGCAGCTTAAATGTAAATTTTTGAAGTCTCCCTCAAAAATGTAACTGCTATTACTTTTCCTGCAAATTCCTTTAAAGTATGCCCACACTTTAATTATATATAAACTGTCAAGATAATTGCATCATCAATAACTGCATTAAAACTGAATGAGAAAATTAAGTTTAAAAGAAAAATAAAGTTTTAAGAACTGTAAAGAGAAAATAATCTATTATAGAGAACACTACCACTGGAGAAAGTCAATATGGAGATCCTCACTTCACTTCTTCCTAGAACATTTCATTATTGGATATATTAAATCTCCAAACATAGGAAGTTCTAAAAAGTTCGGAACATGGTCACAAACTCCTCCAAGACCATTTCAGGCTGGACATAAGCAAGAACTTCTTTACTGTCTGAGCCCCCAAGGCCTGGAACAGACTGCAGCCAGAGGTGGTGCAAGCAACTACTCTGGACTCCTTTAAGAGACATTTGGATGTTTATCTTGCTGGGATCCTGTGACCCCAACTGACTTCCTGCCCCTGGGGCAGGGGGATGGACTCAATCTCCCGAGGTCCCTTCCAACCCTAATATCTATGAAATCTATGTTTCTTATTAGCACCACCATTTTCAATCCTGGTCTCAGCCAAAACTGGAAGTAATCAGTAGTTATCTTTGAATATCTTCACTCTCTTTTGACCAGTTTTTAGTTGGAGTGACTAAGTCGATCACCAAGTTTTTCTCTAAGGCTTCCCAAATTCGTAATATCTGTGGGTGCATCTATACAAGATGCTTACTGTGAAGTTGCCTAATTAGCTACACAGTAAAGAGTCACTGCCAACACAAGAATTGCTGTTAGGCCAGAGTAAGCTGATTAACTCTGCCATAGGATAGTACTGCCCAACACAAATACTATTCTATGGAGGAGTCATTTACTCTGCTGCACCTTATATGTAGACAGTGACCAGGACAGGCTGTAGCACAAGGGTGCTACAAGGTGGGACTTCCTTCCAGACAGAACTGCATTGTAGCACCCTCGAGCTCTAGCCAGACCCTCCACAGCATGCTGAGCTGAGCAGAAGCAGGCCTGGGCTGGCAGGCTGACCCTGCCAGCCAAGGCTGTGTTGCCCTGGATCAATGTGCTGCAGTCCTGGGTGCTGTGTACCCAGGAGCAATAAACTGCAGCATTAACTGCGCTGGAGTTTATTGTGTTCCATTAATATTCATGTATAGATGTGTCCTGCATGTACCAACTCTAAGTGTACTCTACATAGACACTAAACTATGCAAGCACACCCTGGGAAGAAGCCCACATCTCTTTGTCATCTCTCATTGATTAGGAGTAAAAGACGGCTACCAGTTTGCTCTGCAACTAATTATGAACAAGCAGGGTCACAAGTGTTTTAACTATATGCAAGTAACCTAAAACCTACCAGTAAGGACATTAAACATTCTTTCAAAAGACAGCAGCAGTAAAAGCGTGTTTGCTAGTAGGGAACCTCTTAATGACACCTCCAAAAGCTTCCAGAGAGCACAATATTACAAGTGCCAGAAACAAAGGACCGAAAGAAGTTCACCATATCACTGGTTGACATTAGAAATAAAGTAGTATACTGTACTTCTCATCTTAAATAGCTCTTGAGCAGAACACAATAATAGAGATTTATAAAACATGAATAGACATCTTTAGGGATTAATTTTTGTTAAGAAAGCTAAATCAGGATCAAAAAAAGCACTCAGTTTAGTCTCTGACAGGAAACCTCTCTTAAAAGTAGTCCTTCTGCCCCAGGGACGTTGTTGAAATAGCGACAGTTGAGCTATGAAGAAGAGGAAGCGTGAACAGCAAGATGCGACAGGAACTGAGCTATTTAAGTGGAAAGGTGTCTAGATAGGAATATAGAATACTTCTTCCAGCATAAACTGTTACATGTAGTACAAGGACATCTACATTGAAAAGTATTTATTTTGTTAAAACCTAGATTAATATAGGCTGTGTTATACAGTTCTTCAGTATAATATAATCTTGGCTTTGCTTTAGCGGATTGCCTTACCAGCAATTAATTACACTTACTTCGGACATGATTCTCAGCACAATAAAGCATATCAGCTGCATGAACAAACTGATAACCTGTTCCTCTCATGCACAACTCTGCTTCAGTATATCCCAGAACAATTTTCCCTCTGTAAGACAAAAAGGAAGACCTTCAGTTCTATTTGCTGAACCCATTCACAGTTTAAACAAAAAGTAAACCTCCTGTAGATATAATACATTACTTATAGCAAAGGAGGACAAGAAGATTTACAACAGATAATATGCAAAGGTATGTCTATAATTCCCGTTAAAATTTCAATAAAAAGATTGCATGATTTAGCTATGCCATTTTCAATACATAGAACTAGGGCCACAAAAAAGCTAGCATGTTCAAAAACAGAGGCTTAAAGTTAAGTTGGGTACTTAAGCGTGGTGTTAGGAGCCTATGAATATATTAGTGGACAAATTTCTGGCAATATAGTAAGGTAAATACTCCTATTTACCTTAGGGTTTACCTTAAGGTAAATACTCCCATTTACCTTAGGGTTTCTTGGTCTTTTATATAGCAAAATTTCTTATTGCTGTGTGCCTAAATATGGAATTAGATAGCCTAACTTTAGGGGGAAAATGTGCTCTTGATTTTCTTACTTAGTCTGACAGGTATTCAAAATTCCAGGCAATTTTCTTCTAGTAAATACTCTAACCACAAATATGCTGTTTTTGTTAATCAATAATCTATGGGCCCTTATGTTGTAATGAAGAAGTTGCTGAGATACTCTTGTTGATTCTCCTTTAGCAGGCCAGAAGCATGTGCCACTTCAACCCTAGTCCCATTAAAACAGGAGAATATTTTAAGCACTTCTTTCATCTAGTAATTAATTAGGTACCTTCTGCCATCTCCAATGCCAAAGACACACCACTCACCTAAGTTCAGTTTAGGAGTGGATACGCATTCTGCTTCCTAATAGTGTAAAACAGCTGTGCAAGAAATAGCCATAAGAGTTAAACATGACTCTGTAAAAGTCCTTTTGAAGGGTCAAAAAGATGCAAATCAGGGATGGGAAGGAAGAAATGAACAATCAGTAATTGTGAAGGAACTGGGGGGGGACAGGTAACAATGAAAGGTGACAGGGAAAGGGCAGTATGGGGCAGGGACTGGGAAGGAAATGAAAAAAGAAGGGAAGCAAAAGAAATGCAGATACAATGGAAAGACAAGCAAAATGAACTGACAAAGAAAAGGAAAAAGGGACATAAGAAAAGGAAAGAAATGATTTGGACATAAGAAGAAAACAAGATTGTGGAAATTGAAAGATAAATACAAAGAAAAATGGGAAAAGAAAGATAGAAACGTTATGGCTCACAAGTTTTTTACTCGTATGCCTACTTTTCTCTATCAGTATTTTGAGGAACATGAGAAAAGCTTGGAAAATGGTGGACAACAACCTGACTGCATTATGAAGTCAAACTCAGATGGCCAATTACAAATGAAGGGGAAGCCTAAAAGCACAACAAATCTTAAATTTGAAAAGGAGGAATAAGGAGAAGCCAGAGGGCTCTTTTTGGCTGGAGCGTGAGCAACTTAATGGAATTTTTGCTATGCTGATCTGTCACCTGCTAATGTAGTTGTCTTTTTTTTTTTTTTTTTTTTTTTTTTTA